TACGAGCCTCTGAAATACGGCGGCTACGTTTATCCAAAATGGGCAGACGTTGTTGGTTGGGTCGTTGGTATGATTCCAGTTCTGGTCATCGTTGGATTGGCCCTCGTAAGTAATTAACTCGTTAATATTGTCGATAATGAAATACAAATAGCTTCTCGTTCACGGAGTAATACAGAATGGCGATAATATTTAAAGTGTTCGATCTCTTGAAATTAGTTGGAATTGAATGGAAGTTTCAGAGACACGGTACAATAGAATGTCAATTATTGGAGTATTGATTATTGGTACGCTGTTTATAAGAGCCCTTGACTGCGAATGTAGATGGGCAGCTTCTTTTATTTCACCACTGTGTTTTATTATGTAACTGCGATACGAAAACAATTTTGCCAATACGATGGAATAAGAAATGTATCGTTGAGAGGAACGTGTATAATTTTACGGCCTGTTGGTGTTTGCTTTGGAAACAAGATTCTAATCGGTTTATGAGACTGTAGTGAATCGGAAACTGGGACAGAAATCAGATTGAATTACTGTTCTTTATTGTACGGAAGTAGAAAAAGTTGACGTCTAACCCTTTCACCGCAGTTGGCGGCTGTAGGCGCTTTGAGAACTTTTTGGCACTGTGTCCTTGGCGCCTATAGGCGTTTTGAATACTTTCTCGCGCTGTGTCCTTGACGGCTATAGGCGCTTGCAATATTTTCTCGTACTGCACTTTTGACACTTTTTGGGCACGCTTTCACCTTAATTTAAGCCTTAATTCTCATTCTTCGCGTACTTCCGCCATAATTTTTAAACCGATAAATTTCAAAATGAAAATTTTGAGATTTTCGTTAAATTTTAAATTTTCACTAGGTTTTGATTGAAATTTAAAAATTCTTTAAAAATTCTAAAAAGCCAGAACAGAAGATTTTGCTAAAATCTGTCGCAGCGAAAGGGTTAATAAGAAAGGGTCAAATAAAGAAGCACCTAACAATACTAACACTGTTGGATCATAAATCATAGATGAAAAGTTACACAATAATTGACACTTGCGTCTCAGTATTGTTCTGAAACGAACACACTACCACGAGAGAATATACTAACCGTTAATTACAGGTTCAGCTGAGGGATCCTCGACGTCGTTCAGCCTACGACGACGACGACGACGACGACGACGACTTAGACAACAGACCGTCGTACCAGAGACCTGGAAAAAGCAAAACGAAGAAGAGCAAGAGCAAAAGCGTGTGGTGGCGTGCTAAGATGCTCTTGCAGCCCACTTCTGACTGGGGTCCTGCAGCAAGGAATCCCTCGACTCCTTCGAGAACTCTCACTCACACGCCTTCGCCAGGTAATCACCGGCGTTAATTAACCTTTTATTATGTACCGTTAAACGCCGTCATCTAACGGGACGTGTATCTCGGTATTAAACGTCGTCCTGGTGGATACACGATCGTGCCTAACCAATTTTCGACTCATCAGCCTCGGTTATAATTAGATTTCATCTAGACATAATACGTCACGATTGATAGTCGATAGATTATACTCGAACGAAAGCCAATGGCGAATATGTATAGTCGGTGGAAGAAATATGGCAAGGTCGTAAGGTCGGCCGGGTGTCAAATTTTAATGTGCAGAGCTGGAAAAAATTTTAATGGAAGGAATACAGGTTTGATTGGTTATAGTGTAATAGTGTAGTATTAAAGTTTACTGTGCAGTGTTGGAAAGACTTCAGGTTTGATTGATTATAGTGTAATAGTGTAGCGTCGAAGTTTACTGTACAGAGCTGGAAAGAATTCAGGTTTGATTGATTACAGTGTAATAGTGTAGCGTCAAAGTTTACTGTGCAAAGCTGGAAAGAATTCTAGCGACAGGAATACAGGTTTGATTGGTTATAGTGTAATAGTGTAGTATTAAAGTTTACTGTGCAGTGTTGGAAAGACTTCAGGTTTGATTGATTATAGTGTAATAGTGTAGCGTCAAAGTTGACTGTGCAGAGCTGGAAAGAATTCAGGTTTCATTGATTATAGTGTAATAGTGTAGCGTCAAAGTTGACTGTGCAGAGCTGGAAAGAATTTAGGTTTGATTGCTTATAGTGTAACAGGACCATCTTCTTTAACCCATTTGTATCGTTTGAAAAAAATGACAAATAGGCCCTTAACACGAAATTTTAGTGGCCTGCGATTACTCACAATATGAATGCGCGTATATATACGCTTCCGTTTACTGTACAGAGCTGGAAAGAATTCAGGTTTGATTGATTACAGTGTAATAGTGTAGCGTCAAAGTTTACTGTGCAAAGCTGGAAAGAATTCTAGCGACAGGAATACAGGTTTGATTGGTTATAGTGTAATAGTGTAGTATTAAAGTTTACTGTGCAGTGTTGGAAAGACTTCAGGTTTGATTGATTATAATGTAATAGTGTAGCGTCGAAGTTTACTGTACAGAGCTGGAAAGAATTTAGGTTTGATTGCTTATAGTGTAACAGGACCACCTTCTTTAACCCATTTGTATCGTTTGAAAGAAATGAAAAATAGGCCCTTAACACGAAATTTTAGTGGCCTGCGATTACTCACAATATGAATGCGCGTATATATACGCTTCCGCGATAGCGACCAGGAAAATTGCGCGTATATATACGCTAATGATGCAAATGGGTTAATGCAACCATAAAGACAAGGCATACGCATTTTTGTTATATGGCCAAAATTCATCCACTAATCAAGTCATGTAGTATCTGAAACTTCGTGTAATGCTTCAATTTACGACGTCACTATATTTCTTCCACCAACTGTACGAGGAAACCGTGTTCTTCTTTTATGTACGGAATCATCAGGACCGTGCTAACCTCTCCGCCTACGCGTGTACCAGCATGATCGATAACGAGATATCTACGTCTAGGTCGAGTACTTAAACGATTGTTGAGTACACTTCGTGCACTGTGCGCGGTAGTTGTGCTCTGTGTGATTTTATCTTAACAGAAAATTATTTTCCTTTGTTTCGATATCGTATAATATTAATTGACACTTAAAATAGCAGGAATTTTCAAGTATTTTCAGTGATTTCTCATTGAAAGTTTCAAAAATAAAATTTCAAACACAAATGTTCACCTCGAAATAAACGATTGAAATTAATATATTAGGTATAGAAATGAATTTCTTCCTACTTTTGAAAACAGATCAATCGTCGAGATAATTTCCACTATTCTTAAAGACCTTTTGCCATTTTTTTGTGTTTTTGAAACTCGAGTGGCTTTGAACGTAATACATTAGGTATAGAAATGAATTTTTTCCTACTTTTGAAAACAGATCAATCGTCGAGATGATTTCCATTATTCTTGATAACCTTTTGCCATTTCTCTGGCAGCCTGCGAATACCAGAAACTCAGTGGCTTTCAGCAAATTAAGCGAGTCCAATCGGAGAGAATTCATTTCTACGCCTGATAGATTCGTAGATATTAAACGAAAGAAATGTTCATAGAATAATTGTAATTCAGGGCCGCCAGGAGGATACGATTCCGTGAGAGACACCATAGTTCTGGCGAACGGTCAGCCATTGATGGTTCAACCTACGACCACTTCCACCTCTCAGAAGCTTCCTGGGCCATCGATCCTCAAGAATTCTAGCAAAACCGACTTGATCACATCCCAACAAGTCTGACACGATGTTCATTTTATCTCTAAAGACGAGTCTGCCGAGAGTTCTATCGCCAAAAAACCAACACGCCAATAACAGGCAGTTGAATAACGCAGACAGGTTGTTGGATAACGATCGATGATCGATATATCGAGGAGGCGATCGAACCAAGTATGACAAACTCGAGTGTTCCGATAGAAGAAAACATTCCTATGGATTTATTTTTTTAAAAGAGGAATAGTCTGTGTATTTTTTCATATATTAGAACCTCACAATCTAGTAGCGTCTCGTATTTTTCATTACAATAGAATCTTCAATTCACGACACAAATTTCTTCTTACATTTGAACGAAAACATTTCTTCAATTTCGTAGAAACGTTCTTTTCTCTGTCAACTACTTCGACACACTTCTTATTCTTAGTTACACGAAAGGATCGATAGATCGTTAACTATACAAATGTGAATTTTGATTGTCCAAGTGAGAATTTCGTTAACAAATTGTACGCGTAAGTGAGACTCGTGGTCGTTCAAAATTCGTACGAAACGTTGAGAGAAAGGACTCGTGAAGTGTCGATCGCGATCAGAGAAAGAGACTGTCGTCGACACGCAGGAAAAAATCCACTTAAATTCGCAGACAAAGATCGCGTGGAAATGTCACTGCGAGCACACACACACGCGCGCGCTGCGATGTAAACGTTAGTAAAATTACGCTACTCCACTGCTTTTCGATTGTACATAAGGACACGAGGAAGAAGAGAGAGAGAAACAAAAACCAACAAAAATGAAAGAAAAAGAAGGAAGAAAGATAGGCAAGGAGAAGAAACGATAAGAAAAAGACGCAAAGGAATTAATAATTGTACGTATATCTTAGCGAAAGAATGTTAAATAACCGGCAACTCATCGTCGCTTGCGCTCAAGTGACGTTACAAACAAGAGAGAGAAGAAAACTATGAAAATATTGGAAAAAAGAAGAAGATCAATGTACACCGGATTTACCGGCGAACCGATGAAAATCTGCTTCTGTGTACGGTATCTTATCTGAGATAACGTTAACTTGCATAGCGACGATCGATCTAGACGTTCCGTGCGATTAGCCGGTGAAAAATCGAGAAGAATGAATCTCGCGATCTACAAGATACATATATACGTGTAATCTCGTTTCACCCGCCGGACAAGGACGAAAATCTCTCTCCTCCGTTATCCCCGCTGGACAAGAATATATTTTGTCGCAGATATTCGTTGTTACATTCCGGCATGTTCAGACGCCGTCACCGTCTGGCTTTTTTTGTAAAGTACGTAAACAATTACATACGTTTCTAGATTTAACGTGAACGTTCGGTATTTTTCGATGTTGACTCGCGAAATGTTTCATACGAGGCACGTGTTACATATATATATATATAGAGTATATATTTATTGGAACAAAAACACAAAAATGAAATTGTACGGATGTGTCGAGGTGGAGATTTCTTGGGGGGTTGTAGGAAAACAAAGGGTCAGGGAAAGGAGGTGTGGATCAAAAGTGCCGACAGGAGCGAAACGATGCGTCCTTTAGAAAGTATTATCTGAATTAAATAAGGATGATTAGCGCTGTCCTTACCTCCTGCGTTCACTTGTCGATGTCCTCCAGAAAGAAGAAACGAGAGATCGGCAACAATCGTTCGTTCGACGGGGAATAGTGTATTTTTGTTAACACGTTCGTCGCGATTGTTGCCCTATTGACCCTTTCAACGTTGGCGAGCAGTCGCTGAGAAATTCAAGCAAGATTGAAAGTAAATTGTTTGTAAAAATTTTGTCTACTATTTTGTACATAAAACCGACAAATTTGGAATTTTTGTAAATTTTCAAGATTTCGTTTTAACGTTCGACTGACTGAAATAGAAACGATACTGTGTAAATATTTAGTTAGCACACTTTTATTCGTATTTTTGATAAGAAAAGTGACACTGGAATTTTTACGAAGCGTCGGTAAAATTGCTGTGTAACGGTGAAAGGGTTGAATGATCGAGCGTTGAAGCTATTATTATAGCGATAGAAGAGAATTATTTGTTGTTAAATATATTAGATCGATAGGTTGGAGAGAAAAGTAACAAGGCCGGAAGAATTAATTGTCGGTCAAAGAGCAAATTTAAGTGGACGAAAGATAATGTTGCGCTAATTAAAAGTAAAGGTTAAAATAATATCGTATAAATTACGTTCTGCGACGTATTTTCAAGCTGGATAACGATGTTACCGAACAACCTTTGCCCTTTGAAAATGTGGAATTTGGAGGACGCGATCAGATGACGATGAGCTAATAATTACTCTGCCCAAAATAATTAGAGGATCGCCCGGTGAAACGACTTTATCATCGGATAATATATTTACAGAACTCGGTTATTGGAGGTACCCTGTTGAAACGCAACGAAACTCGATTATTCTAATAATTTCAAACAAAATTTCTTATCCTTCCATCTGTTTCTGGATAACAAATTCCCTCGATATCACTTGCAATTTCGTCGCAAGCGCTATATACCGTATATTTGTTAAAAACGTTGCTGTATTAACGTTATTTCAGTTATAAAATTCACGGGAAAGAAGTTCGTTAACGACACGCGTAACTCAGTTCTATAGTGTGTAAAATAATCTTGGAGACGTAGGAAGGTCCCATTGTGTATGTTTCCCTTGGTACGTGTAGGCGGTAGTCATATTTAAAACTTAAGAAGACTATTTAAATAGCTCGATTGATAAAGAGTGATTATGCAACGTAAAAAACCAGAAATTTTTATAATTTCCCCTTCGTACATTTCACGCAACGTATAAATATCAACTGCGATTCTCCAGTTGCGTTGAGCAGTATTCGATACGTAAAAATGAACAATAACAGGAAGAAATCGTATAGGGCACTTTAGCTACGTGCGCAAAGTCTCTGCTTGCTAATCCAGCGGTCGTGAGTTCGAATCTCGCTTGGTCCCATTAAAAATTTTCTTCAGTTTTTACAGTATTTTCTGTCCATTTAAATTCGCAATTTAATCAGTAAAGCGAATTCTTAGAGGAGATCGACGAATAATACATGATCCAAGCTCTGCACTATAATATGATCTCTATTTTCTCGTAGATTCGAGTTTCGACTGTCGAATGTTTCCGCGTCTCCAATTTCCCCCCATTACGAACTGTAATCTATACTTTCCAGCTGAGTAAAATTTTCAGGGAGATCCTAGTCTACTTTACTATAGAGACACACGCTACTATACAAAACTATTTAGCTGTTCCGCGTGCTTCTGCGAAACGAATGCTTGTTCTGTAACGCGATAAATCAGAAGAGGAACGGAGAGAAAAATCTGAACACACTGTATGTGTGTTGCACAACAACGAGGGGTGATATTTTAGCGCGAAACAGAAGGGTAGTGAAAGAGAGGGTGAGAGTGAGAGAGAAAGTGAAAGAGGAAAGGGCGAACACAGAGGGTTGTGTGTCGTTTCACGGGTCAGCGAGAAAAGCGTTTCGGATCGTTTCAGACCCAAAAATAGGAATTATAAAATAAACGTTAAGTCGGCGATGTCTCGAGAGCACACCGGACTATATTACGCGCGTACGTACACAGTCAATAAACGTGAGAAATCGTGATTCTTTATTTTTTATGTGACCCCGTTTGTAAAGTGTTGCTAGCTGTATCATATGTATAACATTTATATATTTACAGACGCTTGTACACTGGTGTACGCGTCGCATAGTTTATTATTACGTGTACAAAAGCCGAACATAACAAGAAGAAGAAAAAAAGAAAAAAGAACAAAAAATGCGACACGATCATTCGTTTGATATGTGTATAAAAAAAACAAGAAGTTCAGGGCGGAGTGAAATTGCCACGAAACAATTATTAAAGAAAAAACAAAACCATTACCGAAAACAACAAACCCGCTGCGTTCAAATTACAAATGAAGAAGAAGAAGAAGAAGAGGAAAAATAAGAAAAAAAGAAATTACAAAATATGTTAACTCATATCCGTGCAGTGAGCGTGTTGCGTGTGAAAATTCGGTGAATTTCGTGAGTGAGTGAAAGAAGAACGTGGAAAGTGTGTGTGCCTGTGTGTGTATGTGTATTTTCTAGAGTAACAAGGGCCTAACTCCACTTTTTCTCCTCTTAACTGTCCACATGCTCACGTCGATTGGTAACTATAGTTATTTTGCTCCTTTCTGCTTCGAACGATACCAATTTTCGTTTTTCCTCCCTCGATCACTTTTTTAATATACATTTCATTCGCGTGTCTGTACATATATATAAAGAGAGAGAGCGGAAACGTAGTTGTTATTGGAAATTTTATGGTGTACAACCCTTTGATATCGGTGTTTACGTAAAATTCAGCGAGGTGGAATGAATAAATGTTCGCGTAGTGATTTATTTTTGGAAGAAAAAAAAGAAAGAAGAAGAAAGCATTTGCTCTCGTTAGAAACTTTGATTCACGCGATTAATTGAAGTGGACGTTAGGAGTATAATAATCGTCCTTTGCCATCGATCCTTTGCTCAAAGGGACGAACAAGTGGAGGAGGATCCTCGCTATCCGCGTGCACGTGACGGATCCTCGGCGACCTAATTAACATTTTAGAGTCTAGTCGTTGTTAATACTCAGAGCTTCAATGAAAATAGGCAGAAAAGATTTAAAGAGAAAAACGATAAAAAAAATAACGAACAAAGAAAAAACCATTCAAATAGAACGACATTCGAAACCCAAGATCGGAATTCGTTTCCAATCGAGGGGCGCGCGCGCCCCTCGTATTGAAGGCAATGAAAGTTTATCGAATCGATTCACGCTTAACACCAAAATACCGAAAACAACCACTTTTTCCATTGTAATTAATCGGTTCAGTTAGATCGAACGATTCGGATATTGTCGACTCCTCAGGATACGTATAAGACGCGAAAAGGAATTTATCCGTTGAAATATTGTGTAAAAAGGAAACAAAGTATTTCTTCAACGAAACGTCATTTTCTTGCGGAACAGAATTGTTTCATTCATTTTTGCTCGTTTCATGAAAAAAAGAGACATTAGACTAACCACACGTACTGATTATCGAGATTAGAAAAAAGAAAAGAAGAGGAAAGAAATTGTACCGATAGAAACGCGAGAAACACATTCCAACTAGCCATATCTGAGACATAATCAAGAGAATAAAAGAAATCTTCTTCGTTAAGGCAACCCTGATGGACAGTTTGTTTGTCGGTCGAGGTACGTGATTGCGAAAGGAAGATAGAAGTATAGAGGGAAGAAAACTGTGGAAATAGATGAAAAAGAAAGAAGAAGAGAAGAAGAAATAATGGAATACTTGGGATTCGCGAAGGAAGGGTGACTGATAGATAAGCAGAATCTAATAATCTAATAATCTAGATAGGCGAATCTAAATGCAGGTTTAAAAAAAAGGAATTTAAACAAAAAGTTAGCACGTCATTAACAACAACAATAATAATACTTATTATTATGAAAAAAACCAGTTATGTTACAAAGTAAAGAATAATGAATAATAATTAAATAATAATAATTAATAATAGCGTTTAGCTGCTGGTTTAAACCGGCAAGGCCACGTGGTCGACTGTCCTAGGTAGGGTTAAGGTTCGGTGACGTAGAATTATCGGTAACAATACGGTAGCCTTGTCGATAATACGATAAAAGATATAAAATATCGTGCCCTTAATTTTGTTTCATTTTTTCTTTCTTTATTGGGAAACCGTTAATAAAAATTTTCTGCGATTTCGATTTGTGTCGGTTCGAATATCTCTTTGAAATTTTATTCGTAAATTTTTTTAATTCCAACTGTTTAGTTGATATTTATTTTAGAATTTGATTATCAGTTTGAATGTCTCTTCAAAGTCGCTTCTATCAAGTGTTTCCATCGATTTCGATACTGATAACTTTAACTGTTATTTGTAACAGCACAGCTGAATAAAGAATAAAGGTAAAATCGTTAAAGAATATCAATAACAGCTAAGAAGTATTAGTTTTTAAAATACCACAATACTTCCACTGCATTGAAGAGTGATCAGAGAAAAAATAGAAACAAATCAAAATTAATTTCAATTTGTTGCCACCTATAATTATCTCAAAAATTTACGATATTTTGTCATTGAAAAATATATTTTTAAGACTTGACAAAGATGAAGTAAGAAATCGTGGATCGCTTTACTTCTTAATTTATTGTAAATTATTTATTCGAGAATAAAAAAAACAAATTATTGAACGAATTCACGGTTACCGGTTAGTGTTACGGATTTTACGTCACCAAGAGCAACCAGTAGAGCGAACAGTACAAAGTAACGTGTCCTAGAGCTAATCGAGAAAGAGGAAAGCGTTCGAGAGCGAAGATAGAGTAGGTGTTAGCAGATGCGTTATATTTCGAGGAAACGATAGGATTTAATATTCGTTCGCATTAATAAGACAGACTTTTGTACGTTGGCGAGCGCGATTTCACGAACCAAAAAATCGTTGGTCGATGGTGGAGGAATTTCCCTTTCAATCTGTGAAAAACTACTTTCTAAGCGAAACAAAAAAGAAAAAAACGAAGAGAAATGTCTTGTTTCTGATACGCTGATGCGTCTTTCGATTTGCTCTCGTGGTTAAAAAATATGTATATTCTAACGTTCCAGTACCGATAATAATTTCCGGTTCTTCAAACCCTACAATACTATTCTTAAAATACCCATTGAAGTCTCCTACGAATTTCTTTAACGTAAATACTAAAGCTTATCGAAGATAAAGCTTAACAGGTCCTTAGCTAATAGTGGAGGATCGATTGTTGCTGTGATAACGTGTCAAATTACTGTCCAATTGTTGTTAATACGAATACGAATAATTATCCCTGTTCTAAGAAATTTTCTTTCACATCGTGTGAAATGTTGTATACTGTTTACAGAGGATTAACCCTTTGCGGACGATTGGCGCGTATTTGTTGGTAGAAAATTTAAGGGGCGATTCTGCAAGCCAGAATAAGACGAAAATCAAGAATAAGAAAATTGCGTTTGAAGCTTCGTTTTTTAGTTATCAACGTTTAAAAATATCCCCGTAGCCAGGCAACCCTTCATACGCCAACGAATATACGCGCAGGGGCCGAAAGCTTGCATTTTCGACGCAAATGAAATATTAACTGAAAAAGACCGAAAATTAAAATAGCGACGCGGTTATCTGTTGAATAATTGATCGATATATCAACGCAAGAGTACAAAACGCGAGGAAAATGAGCGCCAATTTCAATTCTACCTATCGTTGCAGCGACTGGGCTCCGCAGAGCGTTTCTTTTCGAATCGCTCCGTCCGCAAAGCGTCAATCTCTCACTCTCCTCGCTACCTATCGAAATCTAAATCTCAGACGTGACTTTACAAGAATTTACGTTACATTTTTGATTTTCATCTGAAACGAGAGACACTTCGAGAGCGCATCGATCGGTATACAATCAAAAACACAATAGTACAGAGTAAGAATGGCGGTAATTTAAGGAAGCCAGACAAGAGAGATAGAATATGACAAACGGAGGTGTATAGAAGTTGTGTTGCATAATGTCAACGAGAGGATCCTTTGAGACGAGTTGAGAAATTGAAAGGAGGGAAAAGTTGATCAGCGTGTGATCAGGTCGATTCGCGAGATGTTTATCGTGCGTTTGATATGATTTGCAAGGAATCAGGAAACAGTCCAAGGAGAGGAAGAATTAAAAGGGGAAGGAGATAAAAATTATAAGAAATGAAAAAGAAAAAAAAAAAACGATATTTAAGAGACGATGAAATTATATCGAGAATAAGAAACTGTATTAATATACATGTACATTGCATTGCGGAAGATATATACATTATGTAAATTCTATGTATATGTATATGATGCGTGTGTAATTAATAAAGTGTTGATATATATGGTTGACGATAACGCCGCCGCGTGTATTGTCTTCTCTGTCCATTTATTTAACGTCCAAGCGAATTAAATTAATGTTAAACTCTACATCATTTTTGGTAAACGTTTCTCTCTTATAAATACTATCTTAATTACGTCTAAAAAATATATATCTCGCTTATCCGTGACTTTAGAAGCATTTTTCGTGCGTTCGGTTTGCGACAATTGTGTTAACACTTTGTTTTTCTCTCTTTTTTAAATGGATTAACAACAGTTCGATGAACACAGCGATGGTAAAATAGATTTCTCTTTTTTTTTTTTTCATTACAAATAATCGTGAATATTTCGTATCTTATCAACTACCGCTTATTTAGCATGTCTTCGGTGATTTAAATTAGGCTTCTTTCTACTTAGAGCCGAGGTGAAAATTTTCGTACGTTTGAATTTTTCGAAAGCTTAGATCTCCATCTCTTTTGCAATATGGAAGATAATCGTTCGTGGACCTTACGACGAAGTGTCGAAAATATTCGTCAATGACGGCGAAAAATCGCGTAATCATTGGAGGACGGAATGTCTGAACTGTAAATAGATTACAAACGAAAGAAAAGGTTTTAGTTACAAATAGAAAAGAATTTGATAATTGTACGCTCTTTTCTTATTTTTTTTTTTTTTTCTTTGAAATCTCGTATTACGTGTCCGATTAACGAAAGTATCGTTACGATGTCCAGGATAAGATTTTATCTAACTACGTGACACGATAAACGTGACTCGTTCACAGAAATGCAGGCTGTCATGTAACACTTGGATAAAAGGATTCTTTGAAAGAAAAAAAAAAAACGAACCGTATTATCGTATAATCTCTGATCGAATCTGAAGTACCGTTATAAATATCGCGTTCATTGAACGAATTCTAAATAAACTCTGAACGCAATGATGCTCTTAGATACTTCAGACTTCGATATTTATCGTATATTTAGAAAGAAACGAGAATTTTCCATTTTTTTCTTGAAGACACTTAGGTACCAAATAAAAGCGTCAAATATCTTTTCCCTCCGCTTTAAATAACTCTGTAGTATTACGCTGTACTGTAAAGTACAGTAAGATATTACTGTAGTGCTATATTATACCGTGCAGTACAGTATATTGCAGTGTTAAAGTACTACACTGTACCGTATAATACGGTACAACATTGGTATAGTCGGTGGAAGAAATATGGCGAGCGACGTAACGACACCTAACCTCAATTCTTTCAATTTCAATTATTATAAATCTCGAGCCTTTGTCCTCTTAGATTTTTATCGATTCTTCTGTCGAAACTCTCGAAAATTTCAACATTTAACCTCTTAACCTTTCAACCCTTAAACTCTGAGTAAACTCTAACGTAGCGATACTTAGTGACACCTAAACTCTATTTTTCCCTTAATTTCTCAGCTTTCCGCCGATTCTCTCGAAAACACTCGAAAATTTATATATTCAACCTTTCAACCTTTAACACTCGAACATTTAAACTCCGAGTATACTCTAACGTAGTGACACCTAAACTCTACTTTTCGATTACAACTGAATCTCAACGCGTTAATTTCTCAGCTTTCCGCCGATTCTCTCGAAAACACTCGAAAATTTATATATTCAACCTTTCAACCCTTAACACTCGAACATTAGACGTCCCATATTTCTCTCACCGACTATACACACCGCGATCCAATTAGAAAAATATAAAATTTCATTATCCAGCAATATCATCGGTATCAGTTACATCAAATACAATACAAACTTCCCCCAGCAACCTCATCATCACTCACACTGTATCCACTCTATTGGAGGTCGATTTACAACCGGCTCCAATTACGTGGTAGCAGGCGGAGGGCCGAAAACAACTCTGCTCCTGGAAACAGCTCCCAGAATCGGTTTCAACAATATGAAAAACCCAGCGATGAAGAACGAGGAGAACACCAAGCTTCTTCCTGTATCGCTGCCAGGCCACCATTTTGTATACGTCCCTGTGATCAGCGTGGCGAGCAACAGTATCGTCACGACGATACCGCCGAACGCGTGCAGGATCTTCAGGAGCACAGGCCTGAAACGCGGGTACAACCACCTGGAATTGTTGGTGACAATTCCGAAAGAAGCTGTCAGAAGGGCGAAAATGATGCTGACTAAACCGAGTACGGAGTGAGGAGTGACGAAGTGGCTTCTGTTGTTCGTGACCTTGTTCACAACAATGATGAGGAAACCGATCAGCATCAGTCCTAGGCCCAACGTGTGAAGGATCCAGTGCAACGTTACTCTGTTCATCCTGGATATTTTCGAAGCCAAGTAAGCCTCGCCGGAGATACTGAACACCGCCTCGGTTACTAGAAGACCAACCTGGAAAAAAACGACGAGGAGGAATCGTTGTTAGATCGATCTAATTCGGAAGGTTTCAGCTGTTTCGGTTTAGTTTCTCGAGTCTAATCGAGCCTAATCGCGATCGTTTCATATAGTTTACTCGGGGCAATGTTGCAACCAATTTGGCGATCTAGGTCGACCGTAGATTCCTTCTCTCTTTAATTCGGTGGATCTGAGAGATGCACGCCTACGGTTTCGCGCTTTACGAAGGCGATTTGCCCGTGGAAATGGTGCTGCAAGGATGATAGGGAGACTTCGCGGAGTATGTCCTTTTTTCTTGCGGTATTGTGTTTTTTAGAAGGTTCTTTTTGCTGTTTCTATCGAGATTACGCGTGTTCCAGATTCATTTAGGAAGCTCGTTCGCGGTGCTTCTGAGTAAGTAGAACTCAGCGTTCTTCCAAGTAGGAAGATGATCTAAGACCTGAGACACTTGGACGAAGGTCTCGTGAATCACGTCCACGATTTTATATCATTTACATACGAACGATTCGACGCGCTGGGAAAATTCTTATCCGTGTTTTTCATCTTCGAGATAATTGTTCGATTCAGGATACCGCTGTTTACACGAAAGATCGTATTAATCAGATTCGACGTCTCGAACGCGACGTACGAGGAACTTGGGAAAATTGAAACGACGTATTTTGCTATTTCACTCGGTTTTCAATCGATTACCCGCTTGAAGTTAAGCTGCTCGTTTAAGTTATTATGTCACGGCGTCGGGATATTTTCAAACTGAGAGATGACTACGAGAAAATTGATCGGACACTTGAGACACTTTAATAGTCCCGTGAATCACGTTCAAGATTTTACGTTCGTAGAATTGTTCAACGCGAGTCAGACACGAAATACGAGAAGAGTGACTTCAGCGTTCTTTAAAAAATGCTAATTCATCGCGAAACTATTCGAAACACGTCCCTTATTCTAGGATTTAACTATAGCTCATTAGATCCAGATAATGCGAAATGTCGTTCAACTTTGCGCACAATGGTAAATGAAAATCCTGCGGTTATCCACGAAAACAGTCTTCCGTGTTCAGATTGTATTTCATCCTCGCGGCATAACAATCCGACTAATTTCATAATCGATCCCTTTGCACGAGGAAACACGCGGAAAGGATATCGTTTCACGATCCTTCCGATCGGTGAAAAATTTTCGCGATCGAACCAGGCGTTAAATTTCCCATTGAAAAAACACCAAATTACGCAATACTTCGCGGCGCATAATAGGATTTATTGCATCCAGACGTTACGAAACTTCGTGGTCGTCGCTGGAGGAGGAGGATGCTCGTCAAACACTTGGCGCAACAGAGTTTCACCGGTTCTTCTTTCGCGAGTGTCTTGCCTCATCGTCAATTTTTTCTCTGCAATAAAATTTTCAACGAGGTATCGCGTTACCGCGAGTTGAATAATGGACGAAGTCAAGGACCTAGATCCCCGATCCACGGTGATTTTATTAGTTGTACCATTGTGCAATTAGCGTTGGCCAAGTTGGCTACTTACTCCGAGGCTCATGCAAATAGGATGCCAGGAGAAGAAGTGGTAGTTGCTAAAGGCCAAAACCAGGATGTAGATTACTGGGGCCACTAGGAGGATGTGAACGAGATTGGAGAAGACCAGCATGATGGCGCTTGGTGGTCCTTTGCCTGCCGATTGTTCCGTCATTTTCGGGTTGCTCTTTTAGGCTTGCACCTGTTTGGAAGAAGAACGAAAGTATTGTAGTAAAAATGGAAATGGAAAGGTTGTATATTTTGTGTTTTCTCGTTCGTTCAGATTTTCAATGAAAATTCTCTGGAAAATTTGAAATCGCTGTACTTTGATAGAGAAATTTGTCTTTTCTTTAGATTGGATTCGTGAAGATTTGTTTGACTCATATTTTTTTTTTTTCATTGGGTGATTAAGGTCACATGCATCTTCTGAGGTTACTAGTGACCACAGTGAGTTTATTCAGTCTATAGTAGGAGGTATAAATCAATATCTTTCACTTGAATCTTCTTTTTGAAGCATGGTCAGTGAATTCGGCAAGTTATGTTGGATCCTTTTCATGTACTTTGGGCAGGTTATCAGGATGTGCTCGATGGAGTTTTGTATCCCGCATATTTTGTTTTATTTTCTCAATGAAAAGTTGATAATTTGCACTGAATTTTGTCGTAGAAAATTAGTTTTTAGACTTATTTGACTGATACTTTGTATTTCACATTCCCAATGGAAAATCTATAAATTTAAATTTATTTCTTAGATGGGATTTGTGAAGACTTATTTGACATATTTTGTATTTCACTTTGCCAATGGAAAATCGGTAGATTTTCACTGAATTTTGTTAGAAAAAGTTATTTTTTACATTTATTTCACTCTATTTTGTATTTCACCTTTCCAAATTTTCACCGAATTTTCTCACAGAAACTTATACTTCAGATCAAATTTCTGAAGATTTATTTCACTCATATTTTACATTTCACTTTTTCAATAAAAAGTCTATAAATTTCCACCGAATTTTGTTGTAAAAAATTATTTTTTAGATTAATTTCGCTCTATTTTGTATTTCACCTTCCCAACGAAAATTTTCACCAAATTTTCTCACAGAAACTTATTCTTCAGATCAGATTTCTGAAGATTTATTTCACTCATATTTTACATTTCACTTTCCCAACGAAAACTCGAAAATTTTCGTTACATTTCATCGTAAAAATGTATTTCTTAGATTTGCTTACTGGAGCTCAAAGTGTCTGTTCTCGAATTTGCAAGGGAAAACAATAAATTCCTCGCGACCTCACCAGGTCTTTTGACGCAACTGCTCCTACGGTCGTTTAGATGCGCGACGTGTGATTCACTGCTAATTGTGCGACATGATTCCACGTTTCTTTCAGCATCCACTTGTTAGACGAATCCACGGAACGTCGTGTCTTTTACAATGGTACACATAAGCATGAACTCGATAAATGAACCTACCGATTAAGTAAACGCCTGTCAAGATCGAAGAGTCTGTTATTGCTACAATTCTCCTATGTTCTAGCCACTGAACTGTCTTTCAGATGCTTTGAAACTAGGTGAGAAACAAGCTTTGTAGAATTCGTACAAAAGATGTTTGGTGTTATTGTTTCTGAATGAAAAGATCAGGTGTCGAAAGCGTTCTCTTTATTCTTCGATTCTATGACTTTCCTCAGAGCTTTCTTTGTTTGTCGTTGTTACGTTTATTCGAGAGAAAAGTTGTTGAAAAATCTGCGTACATTACTTCGATCTATAATTGTAAGAAAAATTCTAATAAAATAACGTTGAATTAATTTTCTGCTATTCTGTATCCTCTTCTATTGTTCAATACTCCTTGAGAAATAATAGTAGTTTTCCTAAAATAGTAGCTTCAAATTATCATTTTACCGTATTAATTTATTTAGAAATTATCAAATAATGTTAAATTAATTTTCATACTGGATGATTGCAAAAGTTCGTGCCAGATTTGAAAATAAAAGACAATGGGTGTGTGCAAAAGCAGATTTCATTTGAAACTGAAATGGAACGAAACGAATAATTATTTGAAAATAAAACACAAGCGGTGTATCTTTCGATAGGAATGTAACATTACGCTAAAAGAAACATCTGTGTCGAAGTCGATAAGGTTCTCGCCACCTCTGAAAATCGGGCACGAACTTTTGCAATCGTCCAATATATTCTTTTCCATTGTTTTGTACTTCTTGAGAAATAGTACAATTTTTCTAAATCAATAGCTTCATATTTCATTCGAAAATTATCATTTTCACCACGATAATTTATTTAAAAATAATAAAATAATGTTAAATTAATTTTTTCCCAATATTCTGCACTCCTTGAGAAATAATAGCGCAATTTTCCCAAAGTGGTAGCTTCACATCTCATTCGCAAATCATCATTTTACCACATTAATTTGTTTAAAAATAATGTTAAATTAATTTTCCGTTATTCTATACTCCTTTCCGCTGTTCCAACAATAACCCTAAAATTTCCCCAAAAGAATACAATCACCACATTCACTCCCGTTTATCATTTCACTCCGTCCGCTTATCGTGTCGTCGAATCACTTTAGACGGTGGATTTTACGAATTATCTTTATTTGTTGATAGTTTGCTGTGGTTTTGCGAATATAAAGTGTACGGTCTAAACTGCCTTGCTATTCAATGCTGACTGCCTTTCGTTCTTTTTCGAGGCTGCCTTTGTATTGGGGTTTTCGGGAGTTGCGGTTGAGGGAATTTAGGAATACGTCCGTTAGGTAAGGACCAGGAATGTGTAAGGATAATGATCAGGACTCGTTAGGATTGAGGACTCGATGGTACGGGAGAAGAATTGCAGGGACAATGGTTAGGTAATGGACTTAAGGATTCGGTACAAAAGAAATGGGTAGAGTGCATCAGCTTGAAGATCTGCCGGAGATAGGACAGGAATTCGGTGGAAAAGTGGAAAACGCGCAGGTAGTTGTCAAAACGGTACCCGGGATAAGGATCTGTATGCATGGGAGTCAAGGGACAAAGGGATGAGGATTCGACAGTCGCGAATTAAAAACCGCATAAATTAAATAAAACACACCCTCGAAGATCACGTAAGCACGATTCTTATCCCATTCCCTGAAGTACAATCGAAGCGACAATTCCTCGATCAACGATGCATCACATTATCTCCTCTACGTGCAAAGATAACACTCGTTCCTTTTCCTCTACTGCAACGAGTCAGCGATTAATTGCATTATCGGTCCATCTCGCGTTTTTCCCCGTTGCGTCGTCGTAATCGCGGCGAAGTGCGACAGGTTCAAGTGTTCACAACTGGGGAATACTAGCTGGCTGTTTCCTTCACTTGAACGAACAGACAAAACTGCGGAGGTTTCGGATGACTGGCAGCGGCCTGTTAGAAAGCGGAATGGCGACTTCCTCGTTTTCCCACGTCCCATTTCGATTTCCGAATCGACGATCGCGGAAGTGAGCCGTGCGAATCTGTTATTTATTAACAATCGCGGTGGATGTTCGTTGAGGGGGATCGGTTAGCGTAACGAGCCCCGTTGTGTGATCGAAAATTGGTCGAAATTTGGTGGATATAGGGTTTTCTTTCTTTTTTGTTAATATGTGAGTAATTTTATGGTAATTCAGATGACCTAATTGTTGGTTGAATTAAGACGTTGGGTAGAGGTCTGTCTCGGGTTTTAATCGTTGAAATCTTTTTCTTCTTTCTTTAAGGGGGTCTTCTAGTGTGATGACCGATTTTTTAGGCCTTCTTTGCTAATTTATTACAGAAGTACGGTAAAAGTTCTCAACATGAGCTTTATTCCTATGCATTTACTTGTCCCTGAAGAATCGTTACAAATTTTTGTTGTTGAAAAATAATTAAATACGGCTGCTGTGGAACACGTCAAACGGGAGCATGAAAAAAAGGAGTAGGTCCATGTTTGCCATGATTTTAGCTGTTCTGCTTATCAGAAATAAAAACATCCAATTGATTCTTATAACAGGCGCTAGCCAGTGTGAAGCATTTAGAGGGTGCCGGATATAACCGGCGCTAGCCAGTGTGAAGCATTTAGTGAATGCCGGATATAACCGGCGCTAGTCGCGAAATATTAATTTTTGCTGGATACCAATGAAGTAACTTTCATAGTAAAACATTATAGTGAAATAATTTTGGTATTTAAGTAATATTCGAAATATTATTTTTTCCTGAGTGTCTGAATATTTGCGTGACAGTAATTAGGTATTAGATGGTAATTTTTCTTTGTGTCCAAATATTTGGGTAGCACAGTATGTAATCAGATATAATTTCGATTAATTTTCAGTACAGTGTCATACACGAAAACCCATGAAATTAACGATAAGTAATTCTAAAATACACTAAATAACGTTTCATACCAAAGAAGCACCAACCCAACAAACTATTCTTTCAACAATTAACTAAAGTACATCGCTAAAAATGCAAGCTTACATACAGTGTCTCGATATTTCCTAGAGTAACTGAAACTAAAGGAAACAATTTTTCGACAACATTTCACCAATTGTCTTTAAAGTGAACAATGCTCGAGTAGTTCGAAAGCACTCACAATTGTAGCAGATTAAACGAACTTCGCTCGAGAATGAATAGTTTGTTGTCAAGTGCAAGTTCACTATCATTTCCAATTGGAGTGGATTGAGTGCTACTTGGATAGGTAGATAAAGTTGAAGAGTGTGTTTAGTCGTGTTGAAGAAATTGCAGAATAAAAGGACGATAACAGAATGATTACCTCGACGATTGTCAATTTTAATACTTGACAAACAAGCTTCCGACAGATGTCCGAACATATATCAACATTAATTTCACAAAGGTACAAAATTTTAATCACAATCGTGCATCTTCGAAACGAAATTGTTCATCTGAAAATAAATAAACATTGACAGTGAAACGTCTGACAACAATAATCGAGCGTAATGAAGAATATTCTGCATCGTAAAACGGTGTTTAAAAGAGAAACACGCAATGTCGTGTACGCATTCTTGTTGAATATTTCAATGCTAAGAAAACAGTACGCAGTTTGTGTAAACAAGAGGGATTCACCTTGCTGTCGACGTTCAGGCGACAGCACACGTCTGGAGAACTTGATTTCGAGGAAAATATGCGAAAACTGTCGTGGCGCTGCGCTGTCATTGGAATGAAAGAAGGAGAAAAAGAATGCAAAGTGGAAAATTGGATTCGAGTGTAGACGTACGTAA